AATTATTTTTCTACTTAAATGGCAATATTGTTAACCTTTTCATGGAGTCAGAAACATCACACTTCTCTGGGGTAGGCAAGTGGAGCTATTTCTAGAATGTGTTCCACCTTTTCTAAAGGCGTTCTCCAGAGGAGGAAGAATGCCGAGCTTGCTCCAACACGCACATGGCACCGTGACTTTGTCCCAGAGGAAGCAGTGAATTCTTTAAAGAACTAAAGTTTGCCGTATTGTAAGAATCAAAATAAGAGAAGTGAATTGGTGCTGATTCAGAGGGAAAGAGAGGTGAATACAAAGTTTGTTTAAACCAGAGGTTTTTGAAGTAGAGAGGCAATTACTGTAAATTTCTCATATCATCTAATATTTATCTAAATGTTAGGCAAACCATGAAAATGGATACACAACTGTCAGCAAGACAGGGAAATTGCTTGCAGTTTAACTGAAGGATTTTTGTTTCTGTTATGGCAAAAAAAAAAAAAAATGAAGTTTCCTTTGAATAATAGGTCAAAAATGCACCTTTGTTCTGACAATCACATTTGTAGTAAAATGCAAAAAAATAGTCCCCCATTTGCTTTTCCCTGTAGTTGGCGTAAATATCTAGCACATTAGTCAGAATAAAACTGTTGAAAATAAGACACAAGGAGAGAGTTAGTTCATCATGAAGTGCCTTGATGTGCCTTCTTTCAGAACTTGTCACTCTGGAAAAAAGTCAGACATGAACACAATTCTTCTGGCCCCAGCGGATATCTAGAGCCGACAGTGGGGTGGTCTACTCTCGACAGGCAATTAGAGAATGCATTGTCTGCAGAGGATTTAAGAACAATAATAAAACCAGCCAAAAGTTGGTCTGCTTTATATTATTACCATGAGTCAGTGATTCTGAACAATTTTAGTGTTCACATATTCCTCCCTGAAGGGGTCATCGGTGTCATATGTCCACCCTCCTTGTTAAGTCATTGTCTGGCACCCCAAGTGGGGGCAGATGTAGAATATATTAAATATAGTAAAGCCTCTAACTTTAATGTATCAGATGTTGTAAAACAGTATGAACTGATTCTCTATGTAGGGTAAGGAAGGTCCTATGGATTTTGTCTAACATCGCCACCAAGTTCTGTAAATGATCCAGCTCATTCTTACAGATCACTTACTGGGCATCGGGCAGTGGCTGGGCTGAAGATACAGTGGTAGAAGATCAGACTCCATCCTTGCCCTTAGGAAGCTTGTAGGCTAGTGGGGGAGACAAAAATCACACCAGTGATTCCAAGGTTGCAACCATGTTGAGTCTAAGAAAGACCACAGAGGAGATATTTGCCTTGGATAGAGAGGTTTAGGAAGGCCTTTTTAAGGAAGCAGTACGGTAGTTCTTCCAAGATTATTGGTCATACCAGAAACTAAGAAACAAATAATGATAATTTTTGCCCACAAGCAACTAGTTGTGTAATCTCTTAAATCTTTTTTTCTTGAGACAGGGTCTTGCTCTGTTGCCCATGCTGGAGCGTGGTGGCGTGATCATAGCTCACCGTAACCTCGAATTGCTGAGCTCAAGCAATCCTCCTGGCTCAGCCTCCCAAGTAGCTAGGACTACAGGTGCATGCCACTACACCTGGCTAATTTTTTTGTTTTGTTTTGTTTTGGTAGAGATGGGGTCTCCCTGTGTTGCCCAGGCTTTTTGAATATTTAGGGTAAGATCTATCATAGGGACTACATCCTAGAGGTAGAGTGTTCCTTATCCAAAATGCTTGGGAACAGAAGTGTTTGGGATTTTGGAATATTTGCGTTGTATATGCTTACTGGTCGAGCATGCTAAATCTGAAAATTCAAAACATGAAATGCTCCATTGAGCATTTCCTTTGAGCATCATGTTGGCATTCAAAAAGTTTTGTATTTTGGGGTGTGTTGGATTTCAGATTTTTGAATCAGTGGTGCTCAACCTGTATATCCCCCTCTCATAGCACAGTGGTTCACTCCAGTGCCTGGGACTGGAGTGGTTAGAGAACATTCTGGCAGCTATGCCAAGGGCCTCCCCTTGATAGCTGTAGACACTCCCCTTAGATCAGCAGTTCTCGCCCTTCCTTGGTACATTACAATCTCCTGAGAGCTTTCTAAAAACCACCTGTGTCCAGGCCCCAATTAAAGCAGAATCTTAGAAGGGAGGGGGGTCAGATACCAATATGTTAAACAAGCCAAAAACAAACAGACCACCCCAGATGATTCTAATATGCAGCCGGGGTAGAGAATTCCTGCCTTAGATGAATGCACTGAATTCCACTTATTCCTGTCATAGTAATTGAAAATTACACATTAAAAACTTCACAATGCAAAGGGGATTACAGTGGTGAGAAGTGTGCGTAAGTTCTTATGTGTGCACACAAATACACGTGAAGGTGATGGTTGGAGAACTCCTTATACTTTGCGTGCTTTTCATTTCTGTGGCATGTGGTGGAAACATGGCAAATGGCTGAAGGATAGAATTTCTTGGACTCTGGAGTCAGGGTGGGTGTTAGAGAACAGGGCATTCCCAGAGCCATGGAAGTTTGATGCAGAGGTGAACATAATAGTTCAATAAAAAAGCAAGTTTCTAGCCTTCTCTCTCCACTTCTGAATCTCTTCAACCCCCCTCTCCTTTCTCTTCCACTGCTACTTTATTTAACCTCATAAATTATGTGGCTTTATATGAAGTCTGTAGCCCCTTTGAGGAAGCACATTCAAATCTTCGGTAATGGGATTTTTTTTTGTCCTTTAAACACACAAAAAACATTGTGTGCACCTTACGTGTAAGTGGAATGAATGTATTTTTGCCACTAATGTTGAAAATATCCCTAGGCATCTGGTGTGTATGAATGTGTATACATAGTACATGCATAATAAACACATTCCACCTTATGAATATTTATATACAAGATACATATATATTGAATATAGACATACATATGTAAATAGTAGCCCTTGAAAACTATATGCAAAGTGTGTTTCCAAGCATATGTATCATAGTGCATCAGGAATATAATAAAGCTACTACCAAGTTTAGCATATTTTGAGGTGGCATTTTCTACAGAGTTGTTTATGGTAGGGTCTACTTACTATCCACGTATGCGTTTTTTCCATCACTTAAATGTTTGCTAAATATCAACTAAAAGCAAGGCACTGGGCATGGCAGAATAAGAAAGATGAAATTGTTGTGGTCCCTGCCTTTAAGAGACCTGTACCTCATAGAGTGGCTTAACATTTTGTTATGAAGAGTCTAATATTGTCACTGCCCATTGGCATCTTCCTGCTTTCTTACAACTGCCTTTCATTTATGTATGCCACTGCTGCCTTTGCCAGTAGGGATTTAAAATGCGACCCATTTGAGCTATATTAATTTAAACCCTGGCATAGCTGCAAAGTTGTTCCGATGCAGTCAGAAGATGCATTGGTCTCAGTGCCTTGTCAGCCACTGGACATGTACAACAATTAAACTTTTTTCTCTGTCACATATAGCCAATCCTATAACTGCATTTTTATTTTAGTCTGATTTAGTAGGAAAAAAAGGTACAACAAAAAGGCACCAAGCCCCAGGGATATTGATAAATCTCAGAAGTGAACCAAAAGAGAGCAGTCTCTTTTCCCCACAAACTTCTTGTAACCTAAATATTACTGACCATGACATTGCACTTCCAAGTTCCATCTAGTTCCTTCCCTGGGCTAGGTAGCAGCAGCTTTCTTAAACACAAGCAATACATTCTAAAATGTACAAAATATGGATCTCTTTCTAAAATGACAAGCCCCAGTATAGCCAGGGAGCTCTGAGTGACGCTCATCAGGGCAGATTTTACTCCATTAAAGGAGAAACAATACATAAGCGTTGTCATCTCTGCCACAGTGTATGCTCATTGTTTTCTCCCCCCTCAATCCATACATAACAACAGGTAGTTCTCAGCTGTTCCCTTGGTGCCAGACATACATTTTATCTAAAGAGACAGCAGACAGAACTACCTGCTGCTTCCTGTGCGGCTCTCCCTGTGTTTCTCTCCTTTTTCCTACTTCACTAGGGCTTTTAAAAATCAGCTGGCAGGGAGCCAGGAGCTCATCATTTTAATGCAGTGTAAAATGGAATATGCATAATTATATGCAAGCCATATGTGAGGGAGACAGCTCAGCTGTGAATTTCAGGAGGCCAGGAAAGAGAGAGCAGTTAGGGCTAAGATGAGATGAGAGCAGAGCGGAGTGCAAGTGTCACCCAAATGAATGGTTTAATGAGTGTGCTGCAGACACGCCCCCTTTCACCTACCTCTGCCTTCTCTCCCACTCCAAACCAGAAACCGGTGGAGATTAGAAAGAAGACTGTATGCAAGCGGTATTGCTAATGGGTTCTGTTAATGTCTCCATTTAAACTTCAGCTTTCTTAATTAACAGCGTAGATCAAAATAACCAGTAACTTTTTAATGCAGCTTTTAAATTAAGTCTATTTTTTTTTTTACTGCATTTGATTGAAGAATCATGGTTCTTACCAGATCATCGCTCCTTTTAGATCTTTATTTAAAATTGGAGGGGAATCAGTTTATCTCTAATAGTATTACAATGCAAAATATAATTATGCAGATTGCTTTTCTTATGGCCTTGCTATTAGAATTTTTTTAAAGTGCGTTATCTAGAGATTGCTTAAGCATGCCAAAAAGTTTAAACACGTATGTATGTCATATAATCCTAAATGTGCAATGAACAATGTGCACTGAAAAACTAAGGTGGTGGTAATTGCCAACAAAATTATTTGATTTTGGTTTGCTTGATATTGTTTTAAATATTACACCACAATGAATTTGCATGTTCAAACTAAACAATGTAAAGAAGAATAAATCCCAAATTTTGATACCTAAAAGGCGTACTGCGTATTTAAACAAACTTCTTAATATTGTTGTTATTTCTGGATTCCCGTTTGTTGAATGATCTGAGCTGTTATGCTTTTAGCTTTTTTTCTTCCATTATTTGTAAGTCCCTAAATAGGCCATTATATTTCCCTTCAGGCTAGAGATGAAGATGGACATGCTGAAAATTTTCCCCAGCAGCACTATGCTAAGGAAACTCCAAGGCTTGCCTTCAAGAATAACTGCGAACTACTTGTAAGAATAACATACTTACAACAAGTCTAGAATGTTACTTTAGCACAGTGAAAACAGTTTTTGAAAGGGTTTGTTCATGATTACATAATTTATGAAATATTATAGTTTTCTGTATAGAGTTCTAAATGCTAATTCTGATATCACTGAATATTAATTTTAAGATCTCAAATTGTTTGCACATCTTTTATATCTGATTATAGAGCTTGAATGGCCCTGTACTTTATTAGCTTGTTTTGTTTAGTAGTTTATAAGCAGCCACTTGGAGAATGGCTAGTAAAGTTAAAAATACAGAGAAAGACAGTTGATATATGTAGCTTGGGAAAAAACAACCTCACCCTCACCCCTCCTCCTACGTCCTCATTGTACACTATTTTAGGAGACGACATGGTAATATTTTGTTCTGCTAGGGAAGATAGCAGAGTTGACACGCAGTACTCCCTTTAGAATTCAAGTATTCCTCCACTCTCTTGCCAAACTTAATCGTCTCTCCTATGCAGAAGGAGTCAAAGCAGTGACAGGGTGCGGGGATGTTTACAAGTCGTGAGAGGGAGGATATCAGCTGTGACATTGAGACTCTGTTCCAATGCAGGGTTAATTTGCTGTTCATTTTAGCATTTACAGCCAGACAAGATGAAAAGCAAGCAGGAATGCCTATTATATTTCTATTAAATGAATCTGTTGGGACCTAATGTTCTTGATTAGCTTTTGAAAATGAGTGCTCTGCAATGCATTTTCTGTTTACCTAAAGTAAACAGAGAATGAATTGTCATTTATTTAGAGATTCAAACACTCCTTTTGAAAATGAAGCTTTATGAGGGATCTAGCTATGTTGTCCCTAAATGTTCTTTTCTTTTCACTTGCATTAAAGCAAAACATTTGTTCCAACTAAATGAAAACACTGAAAGAGAATGAGGATGCTCAGTTGTTACATTTTGAGGTAGTCTAATTTCTGTTTAGTTTTTTGGCCGAATATAGTACAGCTCTGCCAGGTCTCTGCATTAGGAAATCCCACATGTAACAGTCTTTGGATTTAGCTCTGATACCAACTGTTCATTAAAAACAAAGTGTCCAAAGAGCAGGAGAAGAGACAAAAATATAGTTCTTACCCATTCTAGCCGCAGTAGCTACATGTTGACAGCAAAACCTCCTTTTCCCCCTCCACAGTCTGCACAGTTACAATTGCACTACTCATTCTGTGTGTGTAGTCCCTTGACCAGCAAATCCACAGGCAAATTTGCTGCTTATAAATGTAATTTTTTTTTCTGAAAATTTAACTTACCTTATATTTTATCTTAGGACTCTTAAACTTCCAGGACTGCTAGCATTACCTATTCTGAGGAAACCCTTTTTGTTCATTTTGGTTTTAATGTTTGATTATTCAGCAGAAGACCACAGAGGCCCTTATGCTGTGTTTTGGTATCAGAATGCTTTGGGGTAGCTTACTTCTTTTTAGAGACATTGGTAAAAGTAACATGCCATATTTAATTTTTGTCTATTTGTTGGAAAAATGAACATGTTTGAGTCCTGGTTGTGGTCAGTTTATGCTGGGGGAAGCAAAACATATATGTGAACATCGTTTTTAGCTGTCTTTAGGGAAAGTAGATGTTTTGTCATTGCTGTGCTTAAACACATTGTTGTGTTGGCAGTAGTTTTGAGCAATTTGGTACAATCTTTGTCCTTCTAGTCACTGTTAGAAATGCTTTATTTTGGTCAGTATACTTTCCTGTGATAAAATAAAAGGAATAAAAAGAAAACATAAGTAAGCTTATTTCTCCAAGGAGAATTTTAATTTTTTTCAGCTGTAAGAAAAGTGATGGTGTTTGGCTGGTTATGAAGCCCTTCTCTGAGAAGTTATGCTTCTATATGAAAAAGACTTGTTCATTCATAAGAAAGAAATAGGAAATCCTTGGAGTTTTCTTAGTGCAGCTTAGAGCAGATTTTTAAAGAATCTGTCAGAGAAGATTGCAAGCTCCACTCCAAAGTGCTTTTTTAGCTGAAGGGTGGTTCTGCCATCTTCTTGCATGGATTGCTGCAAGAGCAGTAGCCAGTTTAGAAAGCGTGGGAGCTCTGGAGAAAGCACTGAGGCACAGGGTGCCTCTGGGCCCCCAGATGATCAGGAGCACATGGCTGGAAGACTAGTCCTCTGTGCCACAGACACTGACAGAAAGTGCCCTGACCAGGTAGATGGGACGTTGCCTTGACTTTATGACTGACTCTAATGTCTCTGCCCGCTCCCCACCCCCACATGACTGCTTCTTGGAAGAGGGAGGAATATTAAGTAACTTAAACAAAAGCAAAGCAAAATCGATGCCCGGAATACACAAGTGTGTGTAATCAGAAGGCACTGACAAACAAAGCATTGGCTGATAGAAAAATCTGCTGTGCAACTGTAGATTTCCTGTAGGGTATTGATTTTTCCATTTAAATCCCAAACTGTGATATGTGCCTTCACACTTAATGTACAACACAGATGACTAGATATTTAGCTTTGTGGCCAAGATCCTTTAGTTGGTGACTGTGCAGCAGTTTCCTTATGCTTTTTATTAATTTTGAAAATGAAAGGCTGTCAAGATGAGTGACATTAGATGAAACGAGTACTATTTGATATGTGACAATTCACTGTGGCCCCACCTACCTCTTCATAGATAGGCATGCACACTTGCACGCATGCGCGCACACATGCACACACACGGGTATTTTGCTGGCATATCTAAGTTTATGACTAAAGAAAACTTTTAATAAAAGAAAATGTAGGAATTTTATATCATGTTAACACTATAGCAGCCTGGTTTACAAGAGCCTGGAAAAGGGAACATTTAGAGCCAGCCACGGGTGAAACTAGCCCTTGCCCCAAATTCCAGCTCCATTCTTGGTCCCTTTATCATTACTGCTTCTTTCTTCTGGGACTGGAAGGCTTCTCATTTCCTCGATTCAAATGCTCGTATCTCTGGTGAGAGGTGGGTTCAGAGCTAGAATGAGGAGGACCATAAACACGTTATGAGCTCACTTTTTCTCCTCAGCCATGACTTTCTCAATTTTTGAAAGCCCACTGAGAGTAAAGACCTTGCAGAAATACAGCATGAGCTGGGTCATTGGAGGGGAAAGACCTGTAGTGCGAAGAAGAGGAACACTGAGAGGGTTTTGAGAAGGAACTGAAGACTCCTGAGCCTACTCCCCGAATTTTCAAAAGATCAGTCCAGAGAACATCCCTGTGTTCAGGAAGAAGGTCAAAATATAACCAAAGAATAACAGCAACTGATGGAGTATTATGTGGTTGGATAAAAGCCAGGCTTAGGAAGTTTGAAAGGGGAAGTAAGAGAAAAGAAACTCAGGGGGGTAAAATCAGCCTGTCTCCCTCAGTTCCAGATTCCTGAGTCATTACCTAGACAACGTCTGAATTCCTTTGGCTTTTCCTGAGGCTGTTAGGGGTGAGGGCTTTGCAGAGGGAAAGGGAGGGAGCTCACAACTGGGAGGTGAAATAAAAATAGCATCGGGGAAGAATTCTTCCTGGTCACTTACAATGCCAGTGTAGGGAGAATATGAAAACTACTTTAGTTTTGTGGCTGTGTGATCAGAAGTGATGAGGAGAAGAGATGCTTAGGCTGTTTTTCTGTGGGCTGATTTTTCCATTTCATTTCCTTGTGGATGTAGACAGGTGGATTATAAGAGTTGCATGTAGGCCTTAGGCAGTAGAAATACCCCGTGCTAATCCAGTGCTCAATAAACATGACATTATTGAGCATCTTCTATGTACAAGGCATTGTACTAGACAGTGCAGGTAGGGACACAACATAGAAAAAGACACAGTCCCTTCCCTAAAGGAGCATGCAATTCAGTAGGAGAAATAAGGCACATACAGTATCATAGACATAAAAAATGTGGGCTCTCAGGTCTTGCCCCAACTAGACTTTATACACTGTCATCTTGGTGGTATAGCTAAGGATCACAGGCACAAAGGCTTAACATTTATTGTAACATATCTGATATCACATCACACTTTTGGATCCCTGTTTCACCCCCTTGGATCTCTCTGAGCTTCAGATCTTTTGTAAAATGTGATAATAAAAGGAAATAACCTCAGAGCATATCATAAGGATGGAAAATGATGACATATATAAAGAGCCAGGCACATAGTAAGCACTCAGTATATATTAGCTGCTGTTATTATCATCTTCTTATAGTCATGATTGTTATTGCATAATGAGCTGTGCCCCAAAAGAACACTGGCAAAGTTCTTGGAGTACAGAGGAGGAAGAGATTTTTTCTGTATGCAGTCATTAAAAACTTAACAAGGGAAGACACCTTTGATCTAGGCCTTTCATGGGTTGGATTTAGATCGTTGCCAGAAAATGTAAGGGAAGAGGGTGTTCCCAGCAGAGGAAAATAGCACAGGCATGGAGGTGGGAAAGTATGGGCCAGGTGCACCACACACAGGTTAGTATCTAGGCTGGCCAAGTGTAGAGTACCCGAAGGCTAAGGAGTGAACAGGCAGGCAGTCCCATATGCAAGGGTCTCAATAACTGTCGAGTCTGGGTTTTAGTAATTCTGCTTCATGGGAATTCCTAGCACTTCTGTGGATTAAAAACATTATTATGGAAAATTTCTAAGTATACAGAATTAAAGTAGTGGGAGTCATATAATGACTCCCCATGTACCTTTCGCCTAGCTTCAACAATTGTGAGCTCAGGACTAATCATGCTTCATTTTCCTTCCCCACATCCCCCTCCCCCAACCTGCTTTTTTTTTTTTTTTTTTTTTTGCTGTACTATTCTGAAGTATGTATTCTTTTATGAGGGACAGATTTGGATTTTTAGTGTTTTGGGTTTTCTTTTTCTTTTTGTAAAATCTTTAGGATCCCTCTTCTCTGGCTAGAAAGCATCCATTGATACTGATTAAACCAGGAATTAGAGCTTTGGGACAATGCATACATAAAACAAATCACTCTTGGTTATATATTGTGCTTTTCTTTCCCTGCTCAACACAACCTTGGTAAAGCTTGG